ATTTATCATGCTCCGAAGATGGTTAGATTATCCCAAGAAACTTAAATGAAGACTCCCCCCTCCCCCAGATGTTTTCTATATCCAGGATTGAAAGGAGAAGAATAACGAAACATGGAAAGATAATTAATTAAGATAACGCAAAGCAACACACCCTAGACATCTTCTTGCGTTTCTTTGCTGGAGGCGAATCATGCTTGGGACTTCCTTTAGTTGGTGCAGGAGGATGAACACGAAGAGAAGGAACTTGAAAATAAACACTTTCAATCACTAAAGTATGAAGCATAAGGTACAAGTAATCACAGTGACCACGAAATAAAAGGAGCAGGAGACCAACACGATATTTACTACCTCGAAGTTTATTTAATTCACTCGAGACCAAATCGTTGATATTTTTGGGAAGATCACCGTGTTGTGTGTTTTCATTACTAGATCCTGCGGCTTGCCCATCCTAAAAAATGAGGAAAAATCAGCCAAAGGAGGGAGAAGTAAGGTGAGAAGTAAAACAACTGACAGAGCTGCTATCTTCCATGTCAAAACCATTCACATTTGAGAAGGGTCCAGGAGAACTACCATTCTGCTCATGAGCAGTGCAGACATCTTGTTGTTCCTGCTCAGCTTGCAATCTTTCTTCGAGCATTCGAGCCTGCGAAGCAATGACTCTGTATAGACAAAGAACTACAAGCTAATCGACAGAACAGTGCCATGTCGGAATCATATCGCACCTTCAAATCGGCAAGCCTTCGCAACGCTACCGGCATCAAATCGATATTGTTGGTCCGATATTTATGAGCATTTCCCTGTACTTCGAGAGCTCCTGCGAGAAGTCCAATTGCATAAGCCCGTAAGATTTCGCTAGAGCTGTCTCTGGCCCACACGTAAAGCTGGGGGATGAAGTCACTCGGTTCCTGCAAATAGTAAAAAATCAAACATCGGTATTTCACTTCCGAGAGTGACGAAATGAGCTAAACAATTTTCCATAACTTACGGAGAATACCACATTAGCGTCCAGCCCAGGAAGGCAGTCAAGCAGGAGTCGAGCTGCAGCAATACTTAGTTCCAGATGGTCACGGCCAAGTAAGTAGGTTATAACAAGCTTAAATTTAGAAATGAGTTCGAGGTTTTTCTCCATATTTAGGACAAAATGGGACAAATGGGTACTATTCAACTATTACTGCCCAAAAACTCAAAAAGTTCATTAAATCTTCGCCCACATGGATAATTCGACGCCTGACCACGAATATCGCATTAGTTTCTGACGCTGGCTCCGATAAGTGCCACCGCTTTTCACACCAAAATCAATTTAATCTCGCATACTAAGGTTATCGGGTGCCCTGATTACGGCTATGACATTCGCTTGACATAAATCGCTAATCATCCCCATTGCAGGCGACGGCATCACCTGCTTGTGTTGACTGCCATGCCATGCCATGACATGCCAGCGCGGACTCCTGGCCTGTTTCGTGTAAGCGATGTGCTGTGGCAGATAGACGACCAGACTAGACAGTGCCATTTCTAGCTGCCTGCGATACGATCCTTCTCTTTGCTCAGGCTCATCCTTAATAGAAGAGGAGATCACTGCCTCACGGGAAATGGTACAGACAAGCGCAGCAGGCTGCGTCGTCACGTGTACCCCCCTTTCTCCATCCTTAACTGCATCGGCACCCCATGCAAATGTGATACTCATGTTTAAGAGGACAAAATGCCCGTGGAGGCAGGTTTCCAGCAAGTCTGGTGACTTGCTCATCAAGAGACAGTCCCCGTAGAAAAGGTCGGTAAAAAACTGGCCTGATGTCGGAACTGGGGTAGTGGTGGTTGGATAGTGCCGATAAACGAAAACGCTCACAAACTAGCAAATCCAAATCAATACCTTATTCATAAAGTCGTCATTGCGAAATAACATCTTCAGAAGATTTCCAAATTCAGCATGCGGATGAGTTCTTGCTGGATGACGATCATCGAGTGGATCAGGATCGAGTTTGAGAAAGTCATCAATAGACTGTTCAATGATTTCCGCGATACTGAAAAGCGAACGGATTTACCCAAGATTGTAAAATTGAAAATCAAAATTAAGGTTGAATTACGATGTATCAAGCTCTGAAAAAAGGCGTTTACCTAGTAAGGGTAGGTAAAGGGTCAAATCCTTCCGCTCTATGTGCGCCATCCCACGTCTTTAATATCGCCGATAGGTTTTCAAGACCAGGACTAATTATCAGCTCTTTGGTGTTTGGCTCCAATACAACGGTGGTTCGTGGCCCATACTGGTAATCATCCGGATCAAAACGCGCATCATTCATCTGAAAATAGAAAACGCCGAAGTCCGAGACCATGGTCAAATTAAGTCCGAAGTTCGATTGTTTCAGGTTGAAAGTATTCAGAGAAGGGATTTCTGAGCAGAACCTAAATTTTCTGGAGTATCCTATTCCGAGTATATACATGGACGTGCTTCACGAATGAACGTATAAGCTAGGTAATCATCTCATGGTAGCTGCTACTGGAGGGTTGCGTCGCACTGAAGTCTTTTCTTTTTTCGGGTGTCAGGCATGAATTCATGACGAAATAATACAGGGAAGATCAAAAATTGAACAAGTGAGGGTATTAAAAAATGTGTACGTAAGTAGAGGCAGCAGCGAGTAATCCGTAATTCCAAGAGCAGACTGCACACGAAAAAGTCCATAGAAAAAGAAGAGAACTTAATAGGAGAGGTGACTTTACCTTATTTGCAGGATTTGAACCCCCTTAAATTAAGTTCCTTAAACTAAGTCGTTGATGGCTCTAAAGAGGGGGCCTACTACCACAAAAATTCGTAATAATGGTATCGCAGTAAAATCATCCCGCCGAGAAAAGCACAAAAAAGTGGAGATCCTACAGAGAAACACAATCGGGAACCCACTTATAGATACCGCTTTCAATCTGAGGAAGTAGTTCTTGAAAAAATCCGGAATGGAAATGTGACCAAAGATCACGCCTTGAACCAGCGCCAGGCTTCATGCAAATGCCCGAAATCGAACCGTCAAATAACGATTCTGTGTGATCGCACTGAACATTTTTTATTTTCCGTCTTAGAGCACTTGTGAAGCGCCTCGAGGGAAGGCACAAGCGTACTTAGAATCCGCCAATTGCTGCAAGCTTACATTGTCATTTCGCGCCCGCAAATTGAATAAAAAAATTGACACACACATTCCTGTGCAAATCCGCGGTTTTGCTCACACAGTTTTTGTTATTGTGGGGCCTCAATGATCCAGCCTTTTTGATTCGGGATTGCCTACTGTCAACGAGCTATGCAAAGCGGACGCCACAGCCAGGTATGATTCCCTTATTTTTTGTGTTTGGCGTGGGATGGCGTGTTGTGCACCACACAACCAGTATATTTGATTTTACGATAAAATATTTCCATGATCACATGGGTTCTATAAATGGATAATGAGGCTCGTATTGTTGTGAACTAAGTATTTGCTGCAGCCTCGCACTCCTGCTTTGACATGGCCTTCCTGGGCTGGACAGTAACGTGGTTATTCTCGTAGTTATTGGAAAATTGTTTAGCTCGATTTCCGCTCCACTCTCGGCAGTGAAATACCGATGTTTGATTTTTTACTATTTGCAGGAACCGAGTGACTTCATCCCCCAGCTTTACGTGTGGGCCAGAGACAGCTCTAGCGAAATCTTACGGGCTTATGCAATTGGACTTCTCGCAGGAGCTCTCGAAGTACAGGGAAATGCTCATAAATATCGGACCAACAATATCGATTTGATGCCGGTAGCGTTGCGAAGGCTTGCCGATTTGAAGGTGCGATATGATTCCGACATGGCACTGTTCTGTCGATTAGCTTGTAGTTCTTTGTCTATACAGAGTCATTGCTTCGCAGGCTCGAATGCTCGAAGAAAGATTGCAAGCTGAGCAGGAACAACAAGATGTCTGCACTGCTCATGAGCAGAATGGTAGTTCTCCTGGACCCTTCTCAAATGTGAATGGTTTTGACATGGAAGATAGCAGCTCTGTCAGTTGTTTTACTTCTCACCTTACTTCTCCCTCCTTTGGCTGATTTTTCCTCATTTTTAGGATGGGCAAGCCGCAGGATCTAGTAATGAAAACACACACACACGGTGATCCTCCCAAAAATATCAACGATTTGGTCTCGAGTGAATTAAATAAACTTCGAGGTAGTAAATATCGTGTTGGTCTCCTGCTCCTTTTATTTCGTGGTCACTGTGATTACTTGTACCTTATGCTTCATACTTCAGTGATTGAAAGTGTTTATTTTCAAGTTCCTTCTCTTCGTGTTCATTCCTCTGCACCAAACTAAAGGAATCGGCAAGCATACGATTTCGCCCCCAGCAAAGAAACGCAAGAAGATGTCTAGGGTGTGTTGCTTTGCGTTATCTTAATTAATTAACTTTCCATGTTTCGTTATTCTTCTCCTTTCAATCCTGGGTAAATACATCTGAGGGGGGGGTCTTCATTTAAGTTTCTTGGGATAATCTAACCATCTTCGGAGCCTGATAAATTAATGTTAGTGAACAAGGAGTGCGAAGACTCAAAGGCTGATCACGTTTGAATGCTTTAGAGCACTTGCTGTTCTTTTCGTCGTAAGAACTTCAAGACTCTATCCTTACCACATTCTGTCACTACTTATTTGGTTCTCCCTTCAGAGATTCTCGTATTTGATAGAGATAGAATACATAGTGCAGGTGGAATAATCCATAGGGGTCATTGATATCACCTGCCCACGAAAGAAAGCGGCCGTCGCTATGTGGCCATAGCGAAAACGATTTTCAGCGATCCGCAGCGCTTAGGCAGGCGGGGCAATCGTAAGTGGTTCAGTGTCAACGACTGAGCCAGTACCCCAGGGCGCTGACTCCAGAAGCCTTTCTCCAAGTCGGATCACAAGGGCCAGATAACCAGCTCATGAGTGTGCCAAGTCAACGTTGCTCTCTTTTCTGTTTACTCTACAACGCGGGCAAGGCACGACCGACATCAACGCTGCGGCTCAGAGCGTTGTCTCTTATGTCCATGCGCATACGATTCGAACTCGAGTCGCCGTGGCCAATCCTACTTCGAGTTAATGAGCTCTTTGTCACTTCCAGAGAAGTGCTAGCCTCGAAGCGTTCCGAGGTTTCAGATTGGAAGTTAGGGTAGTGGGTAGTCCGATACCCCTTTGTTGCAGCTGAAGCAAACTCGGACGACGAGCGAATTTTTCGCCAACCAGCGTTTTGAGGGTTCACTAGGGTTTCGGCTGCCTTCGCCACCGTTCAGCAACTAGGAACGGTGGTGGACGACTCTATTGTTTCCAAAGCGTCACCGACGTTCTGAAGGCTTCCGTCAGCTTTTTGCGCGACCAAGGATGTGTAGGTATCTATTACCGCTGAAAAAAAAACTCAACGCCACAGCAAAGTATGAGTGCACTCTAATACCTATGGCCTTGTAAGTGAATTGCCGTCCAAGGAATAAGCGTGAACAAAGTGGCATCTGAGCTGGCCAGCTTTGCCGAGAGGGGGAAAGAGGGGCAGTTCGATCACAAACGTTTCCTTTTCTGTGTTTAGCGAGAGGGGCATGAATTCTCGTGTTATTTATTTATTTTATTATAGCAAAGTTAGTTACCTATGGTCCACTGAATATTGTCCTAGCATCATCTGCTTTGAAGACCTAGTCGATTAATACCGTAAAGTCTAAAACAGGGACAGATCCGCTGGGTAACACGTACCAGGATCTGTCCTGTTTTAGACTCTCACGGTAATACGCGAATATCGGCTCGCCTTGTTGATTATGCAATAACGCCCAGAAGCAGGAAACATTCTTGGGGGTTTTCGGGCGAGCCCTCTACTTTTTATTCTTAGCGGTTTGACGCCTCTGGTCCTTGTTCCGATCTGAGCTGTCGACCGGGGGGGAAAAGGTGGTATCCGTTTTATATGAAACAGGAAACGAAAAATCAGCAATCTCTCTCAGAAGGGAGAGACGACTCCCTCCCCTAACAACGTCCCTGAAACAAGAAAAGCAACTATCAAGAAAAAGTTTTCCTCGACCCAAATACGATCCCCCTCTCCCATCGACCAAATACGGCTTTGCCTGAAGTCTTGGATACGCTCAATATTCAGTACATTCGGTCGAAAGTATTCATTTTTCAGAATGAGAGGAAAGAGACAGCAAACTCTGTTAAAGTCCCTTCTTTCGCATCGTTGCACAATTTGGAAAACAGCAACAGCACATGGAATATGGTGCAACCATATGTTATAGGAACGCATAAGGTGTTCTTTTCATGACTAGTGGCTCAGTATGCTATGTTCAAGAGAATCCTTTCTAGCGAATGTGTGTAGATTTAATTGTTTTCGGAAAATTCTCCATTTAAGGTGTACCCTCTGTCAGTGACGATGCATCAACGTTTTATTTTGCAATATCTCAATCCAACTGGAGAATACCAAGATGTGAGTGGCTTTGAGCATGCCGAACTTGAGAACTTCATTATTTTATTTTTTAAAGGCAGTTGGCACGATGGTTTCCTACTTGGCCTAAAATGCTAGTAGGGCGCTAGTGGGGAAATGGCGAAAGAACGGAGTGAAACGGTCAAAATCCTGCGAAGAAAAAGCCTCCGTTCTCAGTGACTTGTAAATCGATTTCGGACGAGTTTCCCGTAGGCATCTTACCAATCACCGAAGATACGGCTGCATATGTGTACTCATATATGCATGCAGCATCACGGCCGCTTCATACCAATCCCTTCGCTTCATAATTTGCTTAGCAAATGAATGAATACGAGCGTCAGGAACGGTCGTCCATTTGTGGGCGGGCGGGCGTTTGGGACGTAAAGTTGTGGCTTGATAGGGCCCTTATAAGGAAACCTTCCTTCGGGGAAACCGCTATGCAGCGCCTTGGGAGATTTATCGTGTCAACTGCCTTTAATGTTCCCAGTGAGCTTGTGGTCGTTCCTATTCAGCTATTGAATCTTGCGATCGAAGGCCATGCTATGGATCTCATTATGGAATATATTGACTTGCAGAAAATGCATGACGTCCGGTTAACCTTCGATGCTCTAAGGGTAGGTTCAGTTTCGTTTTCAGATTCCTTCACAGTTTATCATAATGTCTAGTTCGCCAAAGGGGCGTGTCAGGCGCGGTGCCAAACCTGTTATCCACCAGTTGTTTAAGCAAGCAAGTGAGAAGAATGTATCATATCGTTCGTATCACTCGTTTTCTACCGATTGATGTCGCATACCCGCTTCTGCAACTATCAAAGAACGGTTTTGGCGCCGTGACACACCCACTCTGCCTAACACGCCCCTTCTTGTGCAGCGAAGTACAGTATATGTGATTGTTTCTCTTATTTGTTTCTGGGGCTTTTATTAGGGTCCATAACACAATAAACAAGTTTACAGTATCTCACGTCGTTGCTGGTTCATCGAAAGTTTGCCATGGAGTTCATAGCTCGTGGTGGTGTGGCTGCCCTTGTGCGTGTTCCTCGTGCTTCGATGGCATCTGTGGCTGCGATTACTGCTTTGTATTACTTGTCTTACAACGATGACGTGATGGAGAAAATGTGCCAGTTGAATGAGAAAGTGCTTGATGATGTCGTTGAGTGAGTGAAAGTGTTTTAGTAATATATAACATAAATGATTAAAAAGAAAAAGTCTCCGCCTGCTAAACCCCTTTTGGGATTTGGCAGGCATTCCACTTCTATCCAGAATCGTGCGCCTCGCCGGGAGCCGATCCTCCAGTATGTGCCATTTGCCGCGACACTGCGTCTTCCCATATTCACATAATTTACACTTTATTGCTTCAATTTCAAACTTCGCGCCAGATTCTGGTCGAGGCGCTCCCCCGGAGGTACATTTGGCTAGAAATTGTCTCAAGAGGCAGTTTTACGTCTGAGCATGAAAACATGTCGCTGTGACGTGGGCGTTTGGAACTGGCTTCGAAATTCCTCAAGTCACAGAATTTGCTGAAAATTTGCCTCCGGAGTGCGAATGTCACAATTGATTGAAGCGAAAATGCCTGATCTATGTACTACATGCGTCGGCTTCAAAATTGGGCTGTAGCGCCGCTTCAGTCAGGCTAGCCCCATGTCCATTCGGCCAAGCAGGTGTGATAAGCGCGTTCACAGGTCATTTATAACCGAGGCCGGAATTTCGGTCGAATGCACTGAAAGGATGACTCGAGGTAACAGTTTAGCCCTAATTTCGAACGATGAGGCATTGGAGGGTTGATAGCGCCTGCTATTCTATATCGAGTTTGTAATACCCGAAGGCGGTTCAGTGACAAATGGGGTCGTCTGCCATGCGCGTGATCCCAGTCGAACCACGGTTGATTCCCGCTCAGGCCAACCGAGCCGAGCCTTTTACCATTAGAAACAGTAAAAATGCACCCAATTCGTTCGGGAAGAAAGCACTGGCGCATAGTGTCGACCCCGTAAGGCAGCGTTCATACTTCGCGAAGGTAGCGCTTCAGTCGTGCGTTGGAAGCGATCGATGCGCATGCTTTCTACTGCATCGATCGCTTCCAACGCGCGATCAAAGTGCTACCGTCGCGAAATCTTCGCGTTTTACATTTATACAGTCCTTATATAAACAAGTTCTCATACTTTGGGATTTTAAATGTTCACTTCTGTCCAGATATGCCTTGTGGTGTTTGGAGCACAGCTATGAAAGTGGTATGGGAAGCGCTGCGATGTTCTTCACCCATGGATTCTACTATAAACCTATTCTGGAACGGTTTGATCAGCGAGATGGTCTTAGGAAACTTTACAACTACGTTAGTCGCGATAGTAGTTGACATATGGAGACAGACTGATGAAAATGACAACTCCACTTTAGATATCTACGCTAACACTGCTGCAGGAAGCTAACAAAGATAAGATTGACCTGACTGAAGAACAACATCTGACGAGTTCTCAAGCGATACGCAACGCTTCTGCTGCTTTTAAAAAGTTAGCATGTTGTGCATTAGTTCCCTGTTGTCCACAGCTGCTCAAAAATTATTATTTATAGCTACTTTTCGGCGCACTTGTTTGTTAAACTTGAACAAATTAGACGCACTGTTGGTAATAGGATACTACAAGCTGGATGTAGCTATCCTGCAGGATTGCCCAACAATCACCGTTCGTACAAGGTTAGTCTGGCTCAGAAAGTTCATCAGACGATTCAGTTGATTTTCTCCGAGTTGTAGTCCATGGTTATGGATGAGGATTCGTTCAAAGAGGGAATAAATCTACTTTTGACTGCTTTGCGAGCTTCAAACTCTGGATGGAAACCAGTTGATGACGCAAGGAAGTTGGGACTGATCAAAACCCTGTTTGGTGTAGTTGTGCTGACGCATGAAATGGGCCATGCAGGGCGGTAAGCTTGGTGCAAATTGCAACGGTAATGAGAGATTCTCAGCTCATTGTTGTGTTTTCAAGGTATGAAACTGCTAATAATGCTCTGCACACTTTATGGTTGTGTTCTTGCGTTCCTAAGATTCACATCGAGCTTTGTGAGCCGATGCGTTTACCAAATGGACACGATGCGGATGGATATCAGTGGGGTTTTTTGTCACATATGGAAGATTATTCGATTTTTTTGGAAGTTAAAGGCACTTGGCACGATAACTCGGTGCTCGAGATAAAGTGCCTGCAGGGTGATACATAGTGGGGAAAAATGGCAAAAAAAAGACCAAGTGAAACGGTCAAAAACCTGCGAAGAAGAAGCCTTCGTTCTTCATGACTCAGGAAGTGATTTTGGACCAGTTCCCCGTAAACATCTTGCCGATAACCGCTGCAGTAGGACGTCTGCGGGTACGTACCCATGCAGCACAGCGGTCTCTGTATCAATCCCTTCGCTTCATATTTTACTCGCAAATGAAGCAATGCGAGCATCAGGTACGGTCGTCCATTTGTGGGCAGGCGGGAGCGGTGGGCGTCCGGGTCGGTTGATAGGGCTCCAGAGAGAGTAAGTCTTCTAAAAAGGCGCCACCTAGCTCCTGCTCGGTTTTTCCATCCTGCCACGCGTATAAATCGTACACGCCTTAGGGATTTATCATGCCAACTGCCTTTAATGCTTTGCAAGAGTCCGTACACTTCTAGGATTGCTTTAGATTTGCCTTTTCCTTTCAGGATCCTCATGGAGATAATCAGTGGTGTGATCCTGCCTGAGTCCGACCATCGCTTGGCCGCTCTTAAGTTGCTTGATAAATTGTGTTTCAGTTCCAGAAGAGCCGTCGAAGGTAGTTTTCGTCGAAGGTGTCAGATCTATGCTATTAGCTATTAGTCATCATCTTCAGCCTATGCGATCAGAAAGCGGCGAAAAGAAGGACAAGGATAGCCGCCGCAGTCGATGTGCAATTGTCGGTCATTATAACAGAGAAGCACAAGAGAAAATATGGGGCACTGTCCGTAAATACAACGGAATCAATGTTTGTTTTTTCCTTCAGTTAATTTAATCACAGTATTCTACTGCATTCCTCGGTCTTGAGCAGTGTTCGTTAAGATACTAATGACAGTGATTCGCGTCACTTTCCCTATAGCTGACGCTGATCAGACTCGTGCATTGGCGTGCCGCGCCTTACGGGAATTCGCGAAATGGGATCCTGTGGGACAGATACTATCAAAGCTCCCGCTTATTACTGCCAATGAACTGCAAGGTAAACCACTTCTACCTTCTCTCACCTGCTCTTTCACTTTCGAGTTCTATACTTGTTATATATAGGCTTGATGCGGCAACCAATAATGTACGAGAAAAGGGCTGAACATGTAACATTCTGCGATGAGGCACGTAAGCTGATTGAAACCGTGACGAAGCGCCCGATGGTCGATTTCTCGTTGAATCCAAAAGATCTCACTCAGGTATCCATTCTTTATCATTTGTTCTGTGTTAACACAGGTTTGTAGATTATTTAATAGCCTTTTTTGGGGTAATCGGCTTGACCCAGTCAATCGAGACGGGCGCCTGGGATGTCATAAGGTCGCTCGCTAATTTTGCCGCACTTTGATTCTAGGTGATCCGCTGACCGCTAACTGAACCCTCGATTTCCACAGGGTTTTGATTTCGCTTATCTTACCTGCGCATTTCGTTCGGTTCGAGGAGGAGAGAGGGCGTTCATCTAGTTTCTGTCTGCGTGCCGTCGCAACCTTATAGAGAATTGTGAATTCTAGTAAAGCTGGAAAATGGTGAAAGCTTCTGTGCCGTAACCTTACGCCACTCACACGTTTAAGGGGCAGTCCCCGCGCTTGAGCAACTCGTATGCGTCCTTCCTTGTACAAGTACATAGTCTGGCCCTCAGTCTCTAAGATTTTCCGCGCTTTCGCGGCTTCATGGTCAGTGGCAAAGGCGTTGTGGCCCCCATAAGTGGCATTTCTGATGCCTCCCCAATGCCCCACCCAACGAAAAGGCTATTTTTTGTCACCTAGTACAGTTTTCCGTTTTTTTTTCGCTGTTTCATGGTGATAGTACTGAATGATCAGGAGAAACCATTATTGTGCTTGAGTTGGCAGGATGTAGCTTTGCTGGTATAGAACGAGCAGGTCCGGAAAACTCGTCCATAGAGGCTACACATAAAAAACCTTGAGTACGGCTAATAAATT